CCCCCCCCCCCCCCCCAGAGTTGGACATGACTAGACTTAATGTCAGGGAAAACCTTACCTATAAGGAGAATCTGCCACAGCCAACCTAGAAGTAGTCTCTCATTGACCATCTTTCAGGAATCTAAGTCCTACACTCAAAGTACTACATTCTTCTGGCTTCCAAACTTAGTAATATATTTAAGCTTATTTTAGCATCTAATTTCAGTTATTAGCAACATGCTTCAGTAGGTTGTCAAGAAAAAACTATGAAGCAACTCTACAGTAAGGAAAAGTGAAACCTGCAATTGTCTTTGTGACAGATGTAATAATGTATTCTGGAAGAAAAATAAGTGCATCTTGGAAAAGTTACTTATTTGGACCTAAATGACCGGAATCTGGGCTTTGAATAGTGTAGTCCAGAAACAGTAACTTTCGCTAGCTTTGATTAAAACAAATGCATTTTTAAAGTCAATTAGCAATGCATGAAGATAATCCTTTAAAGGGTTGAATTAAGGTTAAGAAGCTGGATAATTTTTGAAGAGTCATAAAAACAGGACTGAAAGAAATGGAAATATTACTAGGTGAAGTATGTGATAAAGGGCCAGCATTATTCATAACCCAAACCTGAAAACGAGATTAGCCAGGTGAATCATCTTCCCACCAGGATCCAATTTAGAAGGAACCCCATGCAGTAGCACCAAGTGAATTACAAAGCTGAACTTTTTGCTGGCTTTTCTTTTGCACCCTGCTAAGCTGACAAAAATATGCTTCAGATCAATCAAATGACAGATTCCATTAAGGAACTCTGAGCTCCATGAAGAAATGGTGGAAATTGTGGGTTCTTTAGGTTTGAAATATAATTAAAGTCTCAGCTGCCGTGAATCATATTAAAATCGAAGGTCTCAATGATGGACCCAAAAGTTCTTTTTATGATGGGAGGTTCACTTGGTTGGTGTGTCTGCATTACTTTATTCCTGGAGCTATACTCTGGTCACAGTCCCCACTGATTTCATCAGACCAACTGTGGAACTGCCAAAGTTAGTTTTAAAATCATTTATTTTTTTATTATTACATGCTAAAAAAGGTACACAGGGTGACTACCAATTCCAAAATATAGAATTATAAATAAAACCTGCAAAAGGCTCTTTAACATTTTATTTGATATCTAAAAAGATTTATCCATGAATAAAGTGATGCAGACTCACCAACCAAGTGAACTTCCCATCATTAAAATAACTTTTTGGGCCCTCATTGAGGCCTTCAATTTTATTTGATATCTAAAAAGATTTGGGCCTCTTGGTGGAGCAGCAGGTTAAACCGCAGAGCTGCTGAAGTTGCTGACTGAAAGGTTGGCAGTTCAAATCCAGGGAGCGGGGTGAGCTCCCACTGTTAAGCCCAGCTTCTGCCAACCTAGCTGTTCAAAAACATGCAAATGTGAGTAGATCAATAGGTACCACCTTGGCAGGAAAGTAATGGTATTCTATGCATGACCGTGGAGATCTCTACAGACAATGCCGACTCTTCGGCTTGGACTCTTCGGCACCACCCCCAGAGTCGGACATGACTAGACTTAATGTCAATGGAAAGCTTTACCTTTACCTAAAAAGATTCACATTTTGCATGGAATATCATTGTGGTTCTAAACAGGGATTGGAATAATATGGCCCTCCAGATGTTGGACTGCAGCTCCTAGCATTCCTCACCATTACCTATGCTGGCCAGGGCTTCTGGGACTTAGAATCTAACAATACAATAAAGGCCTCATCATATGTGCTGCCTGAATTGCCACCGATTGTGGCAAATCCTGCAATGCCTGGTGGGTGGTGTAGAGACCCTGTCGCTCCATACCCTGCATTGCTTGACCTACCCCAGGCTTCCTGTTAAGGGGGGAAGTGTCGACCATCCAGCATCCCCCCATGATATCTATGGAACACGGGAAGCCTCCAGTGTTGCAACCATGGTGGCATATGCTGGTTCTGCTTTAGTTTAGCCATGGAGCCCCACCAGAAGCAGCTGTACATTGTGGAATGGGAGATGTCAGGCTCCATGGCTAAACTAGAGAGGAAATGGCATATGCCAATGATATCAGCCCCATCTGATAAGGTTTTAAAATGGAGAAAGCATTCCTAGCTGTACCATGGTTATGTAAAATCATGGATTGGAGCAAGTGCCATTAAATTAGTCCACTTCCATTCCAGCATACCATTGAGGCCCCATCTACACTGCCATATAAAATCCAGATTATGGCAGTGTATAATCCTGTTCAGAGTAGATAATCTGGGTTATTTGATTTGATAATTTGGATTATATGGCAGAGTAGATCCAGCCTTAGTTGCATTGGAGGACCTTGAGATTCTGAAGGAGGTTTCCTCTGTAGGAATTTTCTAGGTCCTGCAAAACAATTCTATGTTAACTTCCAGGAAAGCATCTATCACATTCCTGGAGAGGTCATTTTTCCTGGGGGATTTGTAAGTGAAACCCTGAATATGGCTTCTGTAGTTGCAGGGGTCTTAGTTTACCTGAAGGATACACAATTCTTCCCTAAACCTACAATCCACATGATATTTTGAACTTCAAAATCCCTGATCAATACCTGTGTTGACTGGTGCATCTGGGAGATGAAGTCCCAATATCTGGAGGATCAGATTTGAGAATTATTGGAGCATCAGCTTGGCTGAGTAGCTGGGCACCAATCTCTTGCTTGAAGTAAAATGTGGATTTCCAGAGAGAAGGGTTGCCATTCTTGCATATTTGCCAGCTTGGGATAGCTATGATGGAAGAAATTTAAATACTTCTTAACATTTAAAACAGGTTTTGGAGAGGGAGCATATATTCCTACAACCAAATAAGCAGACTTCAAAGGCTTACAGTAAATCTTCTAGCGACTGAGGGTCGAGTGTGGGTCTCAAATCTTCCCAAGGAACAGATCCTATCATGAATAAGCTGCCCAGCTTTGGAACAGAATGCTTGCTAAGCATAAAAATAAGAACTGGTCTGCTCTATCAGACCATTTTTCTCTCTCTCCACCCTTCTGTTGGATAAAGCTTGCTGCTGTTTTTGGCTGCAAATTTTACATTCCTCCAAAGCAGCAGCAAAAGTTCTCATGATTAGGAGGTATTTTCCACTCAGTTGTTTAGATTGTATATTGGAAAACCGCTCCAACTATGCAGTTCTGGGTTCTTCTCCTTTTCCTTGGCAGGTGTCAAACCTTGGGAGAGTCTGTTGCAACTGCTTTCTAATAAGGAGGGGAGGGAGAGAGAAGACAGTATAGGGCCCTTCCACACAGCCCAATATCCCAAAATATCAAGGCAGAAAATCCCACACTATCAGCTTTGAACTGGGTTATCTGAATCCACACTCAGGTAATGTGGGATTTTCCACCTTTATATCTGGAATATAGGGCTGTGTGGAAGGGCCCACAGCCCATAAAGTAGCAATGTATTGTCGAATGCTTTCATGGCCAGAATCACTAGGTTGTTGTAGGTTTTTCGGGTTGTATGGCCATGTTCTAGAAGCATTCTCTCCTGATGTTTTGCCTGCATCTGTGGCAAGCCAGAGGTTTAGCATAGTTGGTAAATCATCAGCAACTATAAGATCTATCAACAGAAAGGTTGCAAGTTCGAAGCTCCAGGTCAGTGTAAGCGGCCGAACGTCAGCCCTGCTCACTGTTTATATAAATATAAATAAAGTGTTATTATTATTATTATTATTATTATTATTATTATTATTAAGCATCCTCAGAGGTTGTGAGGTTTTTGAAAACCTCACAAACTCTGAGGATGCTTGCTACAGATACAGGCGAAATGTCAGGAGAGAATGTTTCTAGAACATGGCCATACAGCCCAAAAAACCCACAACAACCCATAAAGTAGCAGTTGTACTGATTTCAGAGGAGGGGGAGAAATAAGATGGTCTTATGGCTAGAGTGCATCCATTTTCCCCTTCCCTCAGAGCAGCTATATTTTTAATTTTCTGAATTGTTTCCCTCCAGTTGTGACCAGTAAGCAGCAACAGTAGCCTCTCCCAGAGCTTGATGGCTGTGGGAAGATTGGGATGGCATGCAAGGGAACCCTATGACCTCTTTAAAAACCATGTCAGGTAGACCTGAGTACATGTGAAGCAATGGAGAACAAATTCTCCCTCTATGGTTCTATTCCTTCATTATATGTGATATTTTCTCCTCTCTTCTATTTTTTAAAATGGATTTTCCGAACTTAGAAATCACAATGACTTTTTTTCTTTCCCTCTCTTTCTCTCAACAGGGTATGGAAACATTGCCCCGAGTACAGAAGGTGGAAAAATCTTTTGCATTTTGTATGCCATCTTTGGGATTCCACTCTTTGGCTTTCTGCTAGCCGGCATTGGTGACCAGCTTGGAACCATCTTTGGGAAGAGCATTGCAAAAGTGGAAAAGGTTTTTCGAGTAAGATTATATGGGTTAATTGGTTTTTAGTCATGAAGCTTAATGGCAGGTCATATGAACTGTGGGTGTTTTTTATATGGTATCACATCTTTAATGGTAAGTCGTATACATAGTGGTGGTTTGAGCATTGGACTTCAGCTCTGGAGACTAGGTTTCAGTCTCTCACTTGGCCATCGAAGTCCACTGTGACCATGAGTAAGTCACACACTCCACCCTGGAAAAAAGCACGCTACCTTAGAATCACCTTACATCAGAAATGACCTGAAGACACACAACAGCAATGGCAGTGTGATAGAAGAGTCAGTCCTTACCTCAGAAACATGTCTTCACAATTTGGGGAATACACCCTTGATTTGAAATAGTTTAGGGATATATAAGAGGGGTTATGAGCTGGATAAATTGAACTAGGACTTGGAGCAATGGGTTCAAATTAAAGGGAAGGAGATTCCACCTGAACATTAGGAAGAACTTCTTGACTGTAAGAGCTGTTCAACAGTGGAACTCTCTGCCTTGGAGTGTGGTGAAAGCTCCAACTTTGGAGGCTTTTAAACAGAGGCTGGGTGGAAATCTGTCAGAGGTGCTGTGATTATGTTTTTCCTTTATGGCAGGTGGTTGGACTAGATGGTCCATGTGGTTTCTTCCAACTCTATGATTCTAAGTGTTACTTATCCCAACACATCTGAAATAGAGTCCAAGGTTGCTTTTCGTTCTGCCCATCTGCCTCCAAATCTATGTTTATAAATGCTTTTAAAACAGCAATATTTTTGAGATCTGCACATGAATATTCTTCTTCCTTTGGCATACATCTCAAATCTCACGGGACTGTCTTGAGAACTATTAGCAATTAATATTAATTATAATCCTCTATTGGCTTATTTTCTAAGTCTGCAGAAGACATTAATATTGAATTAAAGAAAATTAATCCCATTTATTACAATTTGGTATCCTTAACTGATGTGTGGAAACGGTTTAGTTTTTTTTAAAAAATATATTGAGTTAACAGAAAGAGTAGATGAGCTGTGAAGCTATTCTTTGACTTTCATGTTCAAACGGCAGTGGGGAACTATATAGTTGAATGCATCTCTGTGAAAAAAACCTGCTGTTCAAAACAGCATAATAATAATAATAATAATAATAATAATAATAATAATAATAACAACAACAATAATAATAATAATCGAAATCCAGCATATAGATCTCATTTGCTGTGACATGCTGTGTTTTTGTGTCAGTAAAATAAGAATAATAATAGTAATAATAATAATGATAATAATAATAATATTTCTTACCCGTCCTCATGGTTCAAGGCGAGTTACAGAACAATTAAAACACATAAACACTGCAAAAACACCACAAATGCACTGCTGTTCAGCAGTGGAACTCTCTGCCCCGGAGTGTGGTGGAGGCTCCTTCTTTGGAAGCTTTTAAACAGAGCCTGGATGGCCATCTGTCAGGGGTGATTTGAATGAAATAGTCCTGCTTCTTGGCAGGGGGTTGGACTGGATGACCCATGAGGTCTCTTCCAACTCTTTGATTCTATGATTCTGTATTAAAGCATACCTCTATATAAGTTACACACCAAACCATATCTCTATAAAATATATATTATAATATACAAAACAGAAATTAAACAAAGGTCACACATTTAAAATACACGCTTAAAGGCTGGCTGGGTAGGCCTGCCAGAAGAAATAGGTCTTTACATAGTTTTTAAATTCTGACAGCTCATTTAGCCTTTGGAGTTATTCTGGCAGATCGCTCCACAATCATGTGGCAGTCCTCTGGGTAACGGCTGCCAGTCGGGTTGTGGTTGGAGTAACTACTCTCCAGAGGACCTAAGTGTTTGGGATGGGTTGTAGGGAGAAGGCAATCCTTTATACTTTCCTGACAAAGCTGAAGACCAGTTTAATATCTGAAGGTGCAAAGATGGCCTGATACACTCAGTTTGCATGTTGTTGATGGAAGGTGTTATCATACTCATACATTGCTATCTTGCTTGTACTACTTTGTGGTTGTTATTTGATATCAAGTCAATTTTGACTTAGGGATCATGGTGGCAGAGCAGGTTAAACTACAAAGCTGCAGAACTTACTGACCGGAAGGTCAATAGTTCGAATCCGTGGAATGGGGTGAGCTCCCATTGTTAGCCCCAACTTCTGCCAACCTAGCAGTTCGAAAACGTGCAAATGTGAGTAGATCAACGGGAAGGTAACAGCACTCCATGCAGTTGTGCCAGACACATGACCTTGGAGGTGTCTATGGACCACGCCGGCTCTTTGGCTTAGAAATGGAGATGAGCACCACCCCCAAGTGTCGGACTCTACTAGATTTAATGTCAAGGGGAAACGTTTACCTTTATCTTTACAATTTCAGGTTAAGGCAACCCTATGTCATCCATGGCCTTTTTCAGGTCTTGTAAGCTTTGCAGTTTCCTTGACTGAATCAATCAACCTATAGCACAACCTTTCCCTTTTCTTACTGTCTTCCTCATTGCCAGCTTTATAATCTTTTCCAGTTAGTCACATCACCTCATGAGTACAATAGCCTCATTTCAGTCATCTTGGCTTCTAGTGAGAGTTCAGCCAGATTTGCGCTAGGGTTGATTCATTTGTCTTTTTAGCAGTCTGTGGTATCTGTTGAACTCTTCTCCAGTACCACATTTCAAATGCATTGATTTTCTTCCTGGCAGTTTATAGGAAGCTTAATCTGGAATATAACACATAATGATACTTTTTTATTTTCAAATGTGAATTCCTATCATTGTTTGCCCTAATGCTTCTATTGTAAACCAATTCAACCAAGCATGGCTTTAAGGCTCATATGTTAGAAAGCTCAAGGTTTGTTTTTTATTGTTGTTATTGATTTCTTGGGCAGAGAACCTGCCTACAGGCAATAATCAAAGCCAATTTTGACATCATTATGCCAAGAGTGTATATAAGGGTATCAATTCTCCAGTAATTGCCTTATGTTTGTTTTCCAAAATGATCACTTCAGATTTCAACTGACAAGAATAGGTCAGTAGCAGGGCATGGTTTAGTTACCCACTGTTTCTACAATCATCAGCTTTTCTTATGATCTTTCTTCAGTGTTTTCATTTAGAAAATGGAACTTTTTGGATAAAATACTAAACCTTGATTTAATGGTATGTACAAACTTTGGAAGCCCACCATTTCCTCCCCTGTCTTGATTGCAAAGAGATCAAAAGTTTACCCTTTCACTTTCAAAGTAATCAGAATTTGATATTAAGTTAGAACTGAAAGAAATTTGACTACTTTAAGAATGAATTACTTCCTTGTATAAAAGGAAGGAGCAAAAGGAATAACTTGTGAAGGTAACACTTAGCCATTGCTTAACGGATAATAATAATAATAAAAAAATAATCCACTTTATTTATATTTCACCTTTCTCCCCTAGGGCAGAAAGGATTACAAATGCTGTAATCAGAGCAGATTATAGCATTTACATACATAGGCAAACATTCAATGCCTTTATAATCATATGCAATGAGAAACACAAGCAAAATCAGAGGCTTCTCCTTTCATTTCTGGCTTCTGGAGGTAGTGCTTATCTCTGGCTCTGGGGAGGTGCTTTTTCTCCATTTTCAAGCTGAGAAGCCTGTGTTGTTACCTCCTGATTGTGTGGCTAGCAAGATTGCTTGGAGTGTCTCTTTTGTCTTTCCTGCCAAAGCAGTACCTATTTATCTACTCACATTTGCATGTTTTCGAACTGCTGGGTTTTCAGTAGCTAGAGCTAACAGACGGGAGCTTTCCCCATCTTGTGGATTTGAACTCCCAACCTTAGATCAGCAGTTCAGCCAACCTTCAGATCGGCAGTTCAGCAGCACAAGGGTTTGACCCATTGTGCCACCACGGCCCTATGTGCCACCACAGATGCCCGGAATGATCTTCTGGGAAGGTTTTTCTATACTTTTACGAAAACATGTTTGGTTTTATAACCAGAGGATCCATCAGCTCGATACCTGAAGAGAGCAAGTGTTGACTGAAACTATCAAAGGTATTTCATTCATAGAGTGAAGTTGACTTGATGCCAAATAACAAATAACAACTGTGGCAGGATTCTGGCCAGTTTTTCCAAATGTAAAATAGCATGACAATGAAGCAAGGAATCTGGAGACCATAAAATTGTGCATATAATTATCATCTTGTCTACACCACATCGTTTTTTGTGAGCAGCACATATTACTGACCATAAGGACTGATGTGGGAAATGTGGGTAATTTGACCATAACGTGATGATTTTCTTCCAAACCTTAAGATTAATATGCATTTTTTTAAAAACGGTGTAGACGTCTTACAGTTACAGTGGCCTTTCCTTCCCCTTCTAATATTCCTTTTAACTTTAGTCTGATGCTGCTGCAAATTGGTGTGACCTGAATATAAAGACAGGGGACTGCTGCTTTCAAAAGATCGTTTTCCTTTAATGGGATGTGGAGAGCTACCTGCATGGGTCTCTATTAACTGTAGTGTTAATCACACCACTTTAACTCCCAGTGTTTCTGGCCCTATGAGTCCAGAGCAATTAATTCTTATCACACAGGGGCAGGAACAAACAAGTGCTGAATGCATGATGTAAGAGTTTCCCTGTATTGCATGTGCAATTGAGGGGCTACTGAAATGGAGACTAGTGTTGAAGATCTAGGACTTGTCTGTACTGTAGAAAGGAATTTTACTCACATTGTAGGTGCAATGCTTCTGACACATAGTGGTGTAGTATATTCAGAAGCCAACTAGGTAATGCTGGGATGTTCTTTAGCAACACTGGTACATTTTTGTGCCTGACTTCTATTTCTTCTGCTCATGGGTGTCTTAGCTGTGCTATGTATTACTCCTGTTTTGTTCTGTCTTCAAAAGTAGGCACAAAGAAGAAAAATAGCCAAGAAAATTACAGGAGAGAGCAATAACTTGGGGGGTATTTTAAAGCGAAATTGCTGAGAGTTGTGGGAATATTATTCCTCCCATCTCCCGCTTCCCTCAACCCAGCTGCTACCTGACTATTGACTGCAGTGTTTCACATTCAAGTGACCTTTCCAAACTGAGGAAATGCAGTTTTAGCTTCTTCAGTCAAGAGCAATGGGGATATTTATTGGTTGGGTTGATTGGTAACTGACCAAATCACAGCCGGCACTTCCACGGGGAATGTGGCAGAGACAGCTTTCTGAAATTGTATTTTATTCCAGGTGATCTAATCTGGAATGAGATCATATCTCTGTATGAAAGCACATTTCCAGCTTGGGAAACTAATCTGAAGCCATGAGAGATATAGGCTAATTTTAACTGAGGTGGTATCTGGGACTCATGGGAGTTGGAGTCAAATAACATGTAGGGGCATAGGCTTGCCATCTGTAATATACACCTAGCATTTTATTTGTGGAATTAGAAACACAGAGATAGAAGAGACCAACTCTATGATCCTATGAATTCAAGGCAGCATCCATAGGGATTTTATCCTGGTAAGACTGGCAGCCGTGAGGCATCTGCCTCTTAAATGGAGCACGAGTGAAGGCTTTGAGTAGCAGTCCTTAAGGTCACCAAGCCCACAATGCTTGGCTGTAAAGAAATACCTCTTAAGGTTCATCTATGCTGTAGATTTAATTTAGCTTGGCACAGTTTAACTGTCATGGCCCAAGGCTTTGTAATCATGGGAGTTGTTGGAATCTGGTGCCTCACCAAACTTTAGAGCCTTAGATTCCATAGCATTGAGCCAAGGCAGTTAAAGAGATGTCAAACCATATTAATTCCACAGCGTAGATGCCCCCCTCAGAGCCAAGTTTAGACCTGCAGCTTTGTGTAACTACTATTGTTCTCCCTTAAGCCTATGGCTAGGGGATTATGTGCTCTGTAGTCGAATGTGACTTTCCCAAGCTCTCTTTCAGAGTATTAACTCATAGCAAATTGCTAGAAAACTACATGCCCCTTTATACAGACAAAACACAACAAAAACCATACCCATCTACAAAACTAAACATCGGTTAGGAGTATTACAGCCTGAATCATTGAAGAGACCATATGGACCACCAAGTCCAACCCCTTGCTATGAAGAAATACACAACAAAAGCACTCCCCAGAGATGACCATTCAGGTTATTGAAAGCCTCCCAGCCAGATCTTTCTGGAGGGGGTATTGCACCTTATAGTGCCATGACTATGACAATCACCACCCTTCTCACTTATGATAAAGGCAGTGCAAAAATGATGACTTGGACTGAGAAATCATAGTTTTCAGCAAGTTGAACTGTGACACAAGTACTGGGAATCTTGAAAGCAACAGACAGTTATTTGCTTTTCCTTTCCCCCATACTCTACTAACAGTGAAAGGTTTGCAATAATGGAGCAAAACACAGAACAATGAGTTTTAATATATTGGATCCTTACAAATAAAATGGCACAATTTATTTTAGTGTTTGTGTTGCGTAATGCTATCTCCTGTTCCCAACAATGTGAGATGTTGAAATACTGCAGCCTTGTAGTGGGAGTAAAGAATATGGTGCTCCTGCAGATCTCCTGTTCCTTTCAGATTAAAACTGTTAACCAGCTGCCACTACAGCTCAGCATTCAGAAATATTTTTACTATTTTAAAAGTATACGTTTTTTTTAAATCCTACTCTCTAGCAGTTATAGAGTCTAGCTAATAAAGCTTTCAAGATACAGCTGGCCCTCCATAGTTGCCTGTTTGTTGATGTAATTATTTACAGAGTTGATTAATATGATCTCTGTAGGTGTAGAGTCCTCCAGTGTGACTCTATAGGAAGTTGACCATATGATTGTGTTGGAGGACCTAGAGATTTTTTAGTGAGAACACCTCTCAAAGAATTTTTAGGTCATCCAGTACAACTTTATAAACCTCTACTGGAAATTCACCATTGTGTTGTGCTGGAGAGCCGAGAGATTCACGGAGAGGTGTTATTCCAGGTACAAAAATAGTGTAGGGAGGTTATTCATTGTTTTTGCATTTTTATGCGAGTTTTGTGCCCTTAAACCCATGAAAGTAGAGGGATATATTTTAAAAATGTACTAAGCCCCACACTATTCTAGAAGTGGGAAATGGGACCAGAGCCTTAGAAAAGAATAACAGCAGATGTAAATGCTTTAAGTGGGTTCCCAGTAGCCAGTACTACTCAATTTCCTCCCAGAATGGAGATGCTAGCTTTACAAAAATAAAACGGGGAGTGCGAGGCTGGGATGGATACATCAGAGTCTGTCTCTCTGTTTTGACCCTCCAAGATTCATCTACAATACATCCACATCAAGAGCTTCAGACCTACATTGTCCTAATAGTAATAGTAATAGTAATAGTAAATAATAATAATAATTATAATAATAATAATAATAATAATAATAATAAGAAGAAGAAGAAGAAGAAGAAGAAGAAGCTCTGAGTCGCCTTTGGGCTGAAATGGGCAGGATAGAAATAATATAAATAAATAAATAAAATAATAAAATGTGTATTCCGCCCTATCTCCCCGAGGGGACTCAGGGCAGATTCCTGCATACACAAACACAAATGCAAACATTCAATGCCTAGAAACAATATTAACATAGATAAAGGTAAAGGCTTCTCCTTCCAGCTCAGAGGGGTGGTGTTTATATCTGGCTCTGGGTGGTGGTGTTCATCTCCATTTCTAAGCTGAAGAGCCTGTGTTTTGTCTGTAGGTCATGTTCATCTCTGGCTCTTTGCATATGCTACACATAACGTAGGCTGATTGTTGCAAATTTGATATTTCCAGATAGAAAGTCATTTTATGATGGTTTCAGGAAATTCTCTATTAACAAGAAATGTTTGTCATTTCCCATCCTTTTCTCTTGCAGAAGAAACAAGTGAGTCAAACAAAGATCCGGGTGATCTCAACCATTCTCTTCATACTGGCTGGTTGCGTCCTTTTTGTCACCATTCCAGCAGTCATTTTCAAATACATTGAAGAATGGTCGGTTCTGGACTCCTTTTACTTCGTAGTAGTCACTCTGACCACAGTTGGTTTTGGTGATTTTGTGGCAGGTGAGTTGTTTTTCTCCTACTTAATAGAAGCTGGGTTGGCTTCTATTTGAGGGACCATGGAGAGAATGGATGATACTTGTTTGAATTCACCATTGTTGATGATATGTTGAAGATAAAATAGTAGTTATTCTGAAAGTATTTTAAAAGTAGAATAACATAGAGTTACTATACGTTTTTGCTACTTGGTGCAAATTGTGCTACTTGGCACAATTTGTTTTTAACACCAATAATGCAGCTTTGCCAACACAATCCAGCTGAGTGCTAACACAATCTAAATTCCATCATCACATTCCCAGATAAGTGAATAATGGTGTTTGGAAATAATTACTTGCTTCAATGGAAGATCCAGACCAAATTCCAAAGGAGATGAGTTCTATATTGTCAAAGGCTTTCATGGTCAGAATCACTGGGTTGTTGTAAGGTTTTTGAGCTGTATGGCCATGTTCCAGAAGTATTCTCCCCTGACGTTTCACCCGCATCTGTGGCAGGCATCCTCAGCGGTTGTGAGGTCTGTTGGAAACTAGGAAAATTGGGAATGTGGAATGTCACCTGCCTCCAACAGACAAGAGTTCTTTTTCCCACCCTGGACATTCCACAGATATATAACCCCATTTTCCTAGTTTCCAACAGACCTCACAGCCTCTGAGGATGCCTGTCATAGATGCAGGCGAAACGTCAGGAGATATGGCCATACAGCCCGAAAAACTTAGAACAACCCAGATGAGATCTATTTCTGGCAAATGTGATGGTAAAACATACCAGGAAGAGACAACAAGCTCAAAACATTTGCTGCCTGAGGCAAAGCAGACTATATACCCACACAATTCCCAAAAGTAAGTTGTATTACACCCTAGACCAGCTATTTTATTTGTCACCCAAGGCAAAAATCTCTTTGGAGCAGTGCCCTTTTTGTGTGTTATGAAGAAGTTGTTGCAGCATTGGAAAGCCACACCCTGCAAATGTTTGAGTAGCATTGGGTAGAAAGGTTGCTGAGAAGTCATGCTGATTCTCCCCTGGTTGTAGTATCCGTTTCAGCCACTTTCTTTCTTGATCCAAAGTCCAAATACGCCTTTTAAGAGATGAAAATCCCACCAATAGATTGCTTAAGATGAGGATATGTGGCCTGATTTAAATCACCCATGGTTCTGTCGTTCCTATCAAATTATTTGTTTATTTATCGTGTCAGAAGCCAGGAGTACAGTTGTAATGTATTTAAAAACACAAACAAAAGTAAAAACTTGGCATTATACTAAATGTCCTTTGACCAGTAGCTGGCCACTTGGGGGTGTCTCTGGTGTAGCTATAAGAAGCTCCTGCATTGTGTATGTGGCAGGCTCAGACTGCATTGTAATAGGTGGTCTGTGGTTTGCTCTTCTCCACACTTGCATGTCGTGGACTCCATTTTGTGGACACATTTCTTAAGGTCAGCTCTGCATCTCGTGCTGCCAGAGCACAGTCTGTGCAGCACCTTCTAAGTCACCCAGTCTTCTGTGTGCCTAGGAGGGAGTCTCTCATTTGGTATCAGCCATTGATTGAGGTTCTGAGCTTTAGCCTGCCACTTTTGCACTCTCACTTGCTGAGGTGTTCCAGCAAGTTTCTGTGTAGATCTTAGCTATGGCTTGAGGTTCCAGAACATCCGTTATTTGTTGGCAAGATTTGAAAAGTAGTGGGAAAGACATTTGTGGAAGAAGGGCAAATTTCTGAAAAATGAAAACACCCACCTAAGAAATTTAAAAAGTTATTTTTTCACCAAGGTTAGCAGCTAAAATGTACAGCATGGGTTCCCCTGCTTGAAAACTGCCAGATTGAATGAGCTATAAAAATGAATGCAGTTATTATATTTTATGCACAATGTTTTACAGAATCAACAATTTTGTAAAGGAAAACATATTTTTTTTAGGACTTAAAACCTAAATGCCGTAGTTGAAGAAAGATGCCATGTATAAATAATAGCTGTCTGTCCAAACAATGATACCATAATATCAGTAAAAAGGACATCTATATTTAAAACCAAATGGACTGTAGCTTTCAGTCGAGCCAAAGTGTAAATTATGTTCTCTATCCTTAATAGAATTTTTGGCCCTGCTGCTCTATCATTTTAGAAATCTTGTACTGGATGCTAAAGACAAATGAGATCTGTGCCATGGGGAAGTTATGCTGAGATGGGAACATTACAATACTAGGATATAAATCTATGTACCTGCCAACTACCAATAAACTAGTGTATCAGTTTGTACTGGTGGACCCCATTGCTGTGATAAAGAGAAGATGATTTGAAGCTGAGCTGAATACAAAGCGTTGGTAAGGGAAGGCAGTGGCAAGAGAAGACAGAACTGGAACTAACCATGTGTACTACAACTCCCACAATCCCATAGTCAAAATGGCTCAGGGATTCTGGGATATTACCTGAAAAATAACTTCTCCAAGCTCTGTGGGAGGACTATTGAATTTATGCCTGTTTTATGACTTCCTTCATGAGTCTGGTTAGTCACTAGTGGAAATAGAAACCTGCACAATTGGTATGATCTTGTTGTCATTGAGTGTAATCCAGTATTCATTGCAGCTAGAGAATCTCAGTTGTCTTTAAGTGGAGGATGCTGAGGACCCTTCCAGACAGGCCCGATATCCCAGGATCAGATCCCAGGTTTTCTGTTTATCACGGATTATCTGGCAGTGGGGGCTCATATAATCCAGTTCAACGCAGAATCAAGATCAGGAAACGGCTTGTTATGTCTGTTCTTCTCCCAGAATTGCAAACATTGCCTCTGTTAGTCTTAATGGGAATTAACAAGTGTACTTAACTAAGGAGGAGGCCCTAATCAAAGGGCAAGCATGTGTACAATGCCCAAAATCCTACATTGCCAAGCATAATAAGAGCTCTCCAGGCAAAACTCCACTGCAGGTCCTCTGCTCATCATCGCCAGAACCATTCGACGGTTTATGGAAATTAGGAAGTAGATTTGAGGCGCATACTGTTTTTATTATGTTATGTATATTTATGCTTTTCTTATTGTGGGCACTATGCCGTGCCAGTTGTTAGCCGCCCTGAGTCCCTCTGTGGAGGTGAGATAGGACGAGATATAAATGCCCTAAATAATAATAATAATAATAATAATAATAATAATAATAATAATATAATATCCGTATGCCTCATTGCGACTCATGGGTTGATAGTATCTTCTGTCTTCTATTCAAATTGCTTGGATCTCAGCAGATTAGGGCATCAGTCTCTGTCTGGCTATGAGGCAAAACCAAATACATTCCTGCTATGCCCTCCAGCAGTTTCAGAATGGCTGTTAGGGGGATTATTGCACCAAACTAATGGATTCTTATGAGGCAAACTTTGATTCTTGCAGTAGGTGGAAGGGAGCACCAACTCCTGCAACAGCCACCCCGCAAAGACACACACATGGCAATTTGTCATTTATTTTAAAACATTCCACACTCTCATGGTTCCATGCTGTGGGAGGTCAAATCATCATGCTCTCAAAATAAGAGATGCATAAGGAAATATTGTGATTTGATATATTTGTACTCCTTTACTTATCTTCCCAAGTGAGACAAAAGCAAAGAGAATCCTAATGGTGTGTCCAATTCCCATCCTGCACACCTTTCCAGTTGGAAGTGGCAGGGGCTGATTAGGCCTTTGGGCCAAAAGATACATCTCCCTAAGTGTTAGGCAAGTTCTTCAATATACAACAACCTTTCCTTTCATTGTTTTTAGAGCCTAAAGCACACTGCTACAAAGTTGGCTAATTGTACGATGAATTCTTCAATTGTCTAAATCTCCCAATTCTCTATATAGAAGTGTCAAATTGCATTAATTTTACACTAGATGCAGGTTTACTGTGGAAAAGCTTTTGGTAAATTGTGGATGACAAGCAATCACAAAGGCTTCAAATAGTAGGCATTGATTGTTTGTTCATACAAGTCCTTTGTGTTTACTAATCTGGAAAAAAGCATTAGTACTGCTGATAAATATGATTCTGGCTGGGAAAAAGGCAATGGCCACAGAACTAAACAAGAGGTGGGGGAAGTAACTGCCCATTTATTGCCTGCTTTCTCTGTGCAACAGATCAGTTTTCTCTGCTTTATAGCGAGTTTCCCACTGGGACGTGTGTGATGAGAATAACCTCTGTGCATCATAGCAACAAGAAACCCACCACTTGCCCTATCTTGCCCCTCAACCCCAGAAATAACGAGACAGACAACAATGATATGGATTCAAATTGGGCAACTTTATTGAA